TATTGTGTGCAATGTGTTCTTTAGCACTGGTGCTCTGACCCTCCAGTCGTGGCCACTGATAACAGCCACATTTACCAAACCTGCAACGTCCTCATTAGGAAACTGGAGGGGAGGTGGTTAGGGTTATTTCTGTTCAGAATTTGTGTTTCACTTCAACTTCCAGATAAATTATAGACACTATATGCAGCTAGATTAAAGTTAGTGAAATATTATAGTTTGAGTTAAAACACGTGCAACTGCCCTCCCTCACATATGCCATAGCAAATGGGCCTTGCAGTACACATGCCACATGACGCTTTGCATGCAAATTAGCCATTTTAGTAGCTTTGACAAATACTAATTGGCACCCCAGAGATAAGAATAAGATATAGCTAGTATTAAGGGACTATAATATCAGATAGCGATTTGCAGAACTGATGGCTTCCTGTCTGTTGGCATCTCAAAACTTCAAGATAGGCACTAATCAGTTATTTAATATACTAATGTTTGTGGACGCTGTGCATAACATGGCTTACAACATAACTATGTTGCGTGACTAAGCAGTGCATTGCTTTTTCTAAACAAATTATGAAGGAAACCACATTGCTGCAATGGAAATTCTTACAGAACAGTCGTCATATCACATGTCAAGTGCTAACGTGATATGCTACGAGTTGCTAGTGCACAAAATATTTGCTTTAACTTTAGTTGCCTTGCGGAAACAGGTTTAAAGTTAGCCCCTGCACAGGAACTAAAAATAGAAAGCAAGAGAGAAAAAAATACCCCCTGTGGATTCACAACACGCAACCACATTACTGCTGATTTTTCCACTCACTGCCTGTGAAACATCAGCTAAAGTATTGTGAATAAATGACCTATTCTAAGTTACTTATTTATGTTTTTTACATAAAATGAACTCAATGCAAACAGATTGAAAATAAAACTCTGTATTCTTTTTTGTTAATAAAAGGAAGCTGGTATTATATGGATATGATGCAACAGAATTCACTCAAAGCAACAACATAATATGTATAAGACAGCCGACCAGCTCTCTGCAATGTTGATTTTTCAACTGAACACAAATTTGTTTGGCCTTTTTTTCATTATAAATGTTTTAAGTTATTAAGGTCAATTGTATAAATTATTTTAGAAATACATTTGAAATATATTTTATTTCTATCTTCTTGATAGGGATAAAAGGCCATAATTAGTCATGTTACTACAATAAAAACTGTTGTTACATTAGCTCTCATTATTGAGTAAAATGAGTGTATAACAGTAATGATGACTGCTCTTATTTGCTGCTGTCTTAAAGGATGACTGAGCTGAGGTCACTGCAGGCCCAACATGTTGACTAAGTTGTGACAAATGCTCTGTTGCCATCTGCTGGTGACTTATTGGTAATTTTACTTAAATATTTCTACGTTGTACAAGTATTATTTAAAAAATCAATACAACTATTATTTTAAACTATTAAATATACTATACTGAAATATAAATTAAATGTAACTAATAAAAGAAGAGATTTGACTGAATAAAAAGGAAATACAGAGGTTTTGAAGCAAGTGTTTTTTAACTTTTTACTGTTTATTTGCTCTAAGGTCAGCTACTAAAATTGAGTCCATTAAAGGTTTTTGTCTAGATGTTTGTTGCTGCCTGTTTTTTAATGGAGCAGTTACCTCATGTCATCTTTCATGGCAATGGCAAAGAAACGTTGTAGGAGCCTACTTGACATCAGTGTGAAATCAATAAACCACCAGCCATTTCTCTCCATGTGGGACATTTTTATTGCACTTGTTTTTAATGCATTTTCCAACAAATTTAACTCCACATTTTAAAAACACTTCCCAGTTTCTTCCTTGAGGTTACAGCCAGCATTCATCCATATTAGGGGACGATTTGGAGAAAATTAAATGATTGCAGAAAATGGCTGTCAGATATGGATGATTTATTGTCAATGTACAGTTGCTTGCACAATGAAATTAGGTAACAAAACCACAAAGTTGTGAAAGTAAAGAAAGCAATATACAAGAAAGAAGAAGAAAACCAATATAAGAATAAAGTTGAATATATCAAATATTCATGCATTGC